CTGTTTTTTCCTCACTGGGGGTTTCATTTTCTTTCCCCAACAAAATTTTAAGGCAGAGTTTGGAAAGGCGAGGAGCCCCTGGAATTGCGCTGGAATTTGGGTGGAATTCCCTGGTTTTAGGGGCATTGATGTCTCCTCATCTCCAGTTGAGGGGGATGAGATTAAATCTTGAATAAATAAAGCACTTCCAGAAGGGATTTCAGGTTTGTCCCAAAGCTTTGGCATTAGACAGGGAACAGTCCCAAAAATTTGGGATTAAACAGAACAGTGCCAAAGCTTTGGGATTAAACAGGGAACAGTTCAAAAAATTCGGGGTTAAATAGGGAACAGTCCCAAATATTTGGGGTTAAATAGGGAACGGTCCCAAATCTTTGGGGTTAAACCGGGCACAGCCCAGAGATTTGGGGTTAAATAGGGAACAGTCACAAATCTTTGGGGTTAAACAGAGCAGTCCCAAATCTTTGGGGTTAAACAGAGCACAATCCCAAATCTTTCAGGTTAAACTGGGCACAGTCCCGAATCTTTGGGGTTAAATAGGGAAGAGTCCTAAATCTTTAGGTTTAAACAGAATAGTCCCAAATCTTTGTGGTTGAACAGAGCACAATCCCAAACCTTTGGGATTAAACAGGGCATAATCCCAAACCTTTGGGATTAAACAGGGCATAATCCCAAACCTTTGGGGTTAAACAGCGCACAGTGCCAAATCTTTAGGTTTAAACAGAGAAGTCCCAAATCTTTGGGGTTAAACTGAGCCTGAACTTTTGGGGTTAAATAGGGAACAGTTCCAAATCTTTGGGGTTAAACCGAGTAGTCCCAAAGCTTGGGGGTTAAACTGAGTGCAGTCCCTGGGCCATCCCTGCACTCTGTCTCTGGGTTTGGGTATTTTATGGGGTATTTCTGGGGTATTTTGTTGGAGCAGGAGCTGGGCCAGCTGTGCGGGACGAGCCCAAGAAAGGCAAGGCCAGGCTCTGTGCGTGGGATGTGCCCAGCATCACCTGCTCCAGGACAGCCTGGAATTCACCGGCACTTCCCTTCCCAGCCCCCTGTGCTGCAGCCTCGGGAAAAATTATCCTTTCCCTCCTTTTTTTGGTTCTTTTTCACCCAAAGCTGCCCTGGGTAACTGCAGTGTTTGTTATTTTGTATGTGGAGGCTGCTGGTCACTGGGGTCAGTGCTGGTCAGTGCTGGTCAGTGGGGTCAGTGCTGGTCATTGGGGTCAGTGCTGGTCAGTGGGGTCAGTGCTGGTCACTGGGGTCAGTGCTGATCACTAGGGTCAGTGGGGTTAGTGCTGGTCAGTGGGGAGAATGTGGTCAGTGCTGGTCAGTGGGGTCAGTGGGGTCAGTGCTGGTCAGTGCTGGTCAGTGCTGGTCATTGGGGTCAGTGCTGGTCATTGGGAGTTGTGGCCATTTGTTATTGGGGCCTGTGGCTGGTGGTCATTACAGGCTGTGGTCATTAGAGAGCTGTGGCCATTGGTCACTGCAGCCATTGGTCACTGCGGTCACTGGTCACTGTGGCCATTGGTCACTGCACTGTGTCCATTGGTCACTGCGGTCACTGGTCACTGTGGTCACTGGTCAGTGGTCCCTGTGTCCATTGGTCACTGCGGTCACTGGTCACTGCAGTCACTGTGTCCATTGGTCACTGCAGTCACTGTGTCCATTGGTCACTGTGGTCACTGGTCACTGCAGTCACTGTGTCCATTGGTCACTGCAGTCACTGGTCAGTGGTCACTGTGTCCATTGGTCACTGCGGTCACTGGTCCATTGGTCACTGTGGTCACTGTGACCATTGGTCACTGCAGTCAGTGGTCAGTGGTCACTGTGTCCATTGTGGCCGCTGCAGTCGGGCTGTGCTGTCCCTGCAGGCTGTGCCGGGGGTGTCTCGGGGCAGGTTCCCCCATGCGGGTGCCGGGCTGGGGGTCCCTGGTCCCAGGAGCTCCCCGGGCAGGGAACTGAGGGAGTTTTTAGGACCGTGGGGTGTTCCCATAGCCACTCCTTGCGGCTGCTCTTCCAGCAGGGACCCTTTTCTGAGCTTGGGGACACCTGGGGAGATTCCCACCTGAGGGATCCTTCGGGACATTCCCACCTCATTGTGCAGCTCTTCGTTTCCTGTGGCCAAACCAGGGACAGCGCATTAAATGCTGTTCAAGGAGCGCTCGGAGTCCATCTTACCGTTTCTAAACCTCGTGGATTCGTCTCTCATCCTAAAACAAGGCAGGAATCCTCGGAGAGGGGTGCCAGGCTCGGAGTTTTCCTGCTGTGACCCTGTCCCTCCCCAGGCTGAGGTCCCCAGCGCCAGGACGGGTTTTGCTCCATGATCTGTCTGGGCCAGCTGTGTCCTAATCCTGAATTTTTAGGAGAGGCCTCGACGCCAGGCCTGCTCTCCTAAATATCTTTGGAAATGGGATTGCAGGACAGCTCAGCCAGGCTCTGGGGCGGGAGGATTCGGGAGATCCAGGGGAAGGATGGCAGAGATGCCGAGCACTGGTGTCAGCCCAGCAGGGGAACGCTGAGGTTCCTGTGGGCTCCTGACAAAATGATCTTTTGGCCTGTGAGGGTTCATTGTGCTGAAATACCCTCTTTCCTGGAGCTGGGGTGATTGGCTCCTCCGGGAAAACAGGTCACTGGTGTCTTGGGGAATTGCCTGCCCTGGAAGCCCGAAATAGACGGGACAGGAGGTCAGAGCAGAGCCAGCACAGCTTTGGGATCTTCCCCCTGGTGTCCCCGTGGGTGGCTCAGGCACAGGGAGCTCCCCAGAGAGCCCTGCCTGACCAGAAGCATGGCCCTGGCACATCCCGGCATTCCTGGATGTCCTGGATTCCTGGAGGAGGCCTGGGAATCCCTCGGTGAGGCTCTGCAGGGGCAGCTGCTGCCGAAAGGAGGAGCAGCAGGAATGGCAGGAATTCCCTGCCCTGCACCCCCGTTCTGTGTGCCACAGCTGTCCCCAGGACGGTGCCACAGCTGTCCCCAGGACAGTGCCAGCAGGGCTGTCCCCAGGACGGTGCCACAGCTGTCCCCAGGATGGTGCCACAGCTGTCCCCAGGACAGTGCCAGGGCTGTCCCTAGGACAGTGCCACGGCTGTCCCCAGGACGGTGCCAGGGCTGTCCCCAGGATGGTGCCAGGGCTGTCTCCAAGCCAACACCAGGGGTGTCCCCAAGCTGTGTCACTGTTGGTGCCAGGGGTATCCCCAGCTGTGTCACTGCCAATGCTATGAGTGTCTCCAAACTGATACCATGGGTGTCCCCAAGCTGTGTCACCACCAGTTCCATGGGTGTCCCCAGCTGTGTTACTGCCAATGCCATGAGTGTCCCCAGCTGTGTCACTGCCCATGCCGTGGGTGTCCCCAAGCCCTGTCATTGCCAACACCAGGGGTGTCACCAGCTGTGTCAGTACCAGGGGTGTCCCCAGGGGTGTCCCTGCTGATGCCAGGGGTGTCCCTAGCTGTGTCCCTGCCAATGCCAGGATTGTCCCCAGGGGTGTCCCTAGGAGTGTCCCCAGGGGTGTCCCCAGGAGTGTCCCCAGGGGTGTCCCCAGCCCTGTCCCTGCCGATGCCATGTCTCTAACTGTTTTCTGCCACTGCTTTGTTGTGTGTGAGCTGTGTTGTTTTCTGCCGCTCTGTCACTGCGTTTCTGCTGCCCCTCCCTGCAGCCGGGTTTGTCAAGTCGCCCATGTCAGAAACTAAACTCACGGGGGACGCCTTTGAACTGTACTGTGATGTGGTTGGGAACCCCACTCCAGAGATCCAGTGGTGGTATGCAGAAGTCAACCGGGCTGAGGCTTTCAAACAGCTGTGGGATGGCGCTCGGAAGCGCCGTGTCACCATTAACACTGCCTACGGGGCCAATGGGGTGAGTGTGCTGAGAGTAACCCGCCTTACCTTGGAAGACTCTGGGACTTACGAGTGCAGGGCCAGCAACGATCCCAGGAGGAATGACTTGAGGCAAAATCCCTCCATTACGTGGATTCGAGCCCAGGCTACTATAAGCGTCCTGCAGAGTGAGTCCGGCCCCCCGGTAGTGGCACTGTAGTGTCTAGAGGCAGTGTGGTGTCCCCGTCCCCGTGTCCCCACCCTGTGCTGTCCTGCCACCTGTAGTGCTGACCCTGTGTGCCACCCGTGTCTCTCCTCCTTAGGACCCAAGCGCTTGGGGAAACCTCGGGATGTGTGTTAGAGCTTTCCGTGTCAAACCGGATTTGTGTTTGTTCCCTCCTCCCTTTAGTTTTGTAGGAGGTTTCCGGCCTCCCTGGCTTCTCCACCAGTGCCTTGCTCTTTGATTTTCACGTTCTTCCCAACTCTAACCGTTTTATTTTGATTTCTTCTGTTCTCTTGGAATTTCTGGGAATGCCTCCTCACCTGCTTTTGGTTCCATATCTGCTTCTGGATAAACCCTTCCCTTTCAGTTCCACGTGACCTTTCGTGCTCGGATTTTCCCATGAAGTTGTGGTGTTTCTTTCCTTCCTGGCCAGCAGCATGTTCCTAAGGAATTCTCTGATGCAGCAGCGCTGAGGAGGTGCAGCCATTCCTGATCCAGCCTGTGGTGGGAGGAGGAGGAGGAGGAGGAGGAGGTGGGAATGTCCTGCCCGGTGCTGAGCCCAAACTCCAGCTCAGTGACACCATGCAGGGTGCAGCTCCTGGCAGCAGCAGAGCTCTGAGAGGCTGTGCCCGGCCCAGAATCGCTTTTTGTTCTTGGATGTGACAAGGCTTTCCTGCCTTCGCTTCTGCTTCTCACCCCAGGTGGATTTGGGAGTTGGTGTGGGCACATTCAGTAGAGGAGGATCCCGGGCCAGAGGTAAAACTTGCATTTGCCCAAATGGCTGCTGAGTGCCAGGTAGAAGGAATTAAATCTGCAGTGTGCAGGTAGAGGAGAACTTGTTTTGGGTGGTTTCTCAGTGTCCTCAGCTGAGCTGAAGTGTGGTCTTGCTCCTCCTGTGCTCTGTGCACGAGTAACACTTTAATGCCCTACAGGGTACAAAATATCAACTCTGTGTCTTGATTATTTATTTAAGCACCTTGAAAAATGCCCCTAAGCTGTCCCCAAAGGCTGGTGCTGCCGTGGGCACTGCTGGATCAGAGAGCTTCCCTCGGGGAATGGGAACAGCGGCCGGTGTGGAGCTCCCACGGCGTTCCTGAGCTGCAGCTGCTCGGCCTCGGCCCACCCCTGGCCCCCCCCGTGTCCTTTTGGCTCCCAAAGGGCTGCAATGCTTGCATGGCTCCAGCAGCAGCTCTGCCACTCTGGGACAAACCTGCAGCTGTGTCTGCTGGGGAGCGCTGCCAGCCCCAGAGTGCCCCATGCCCAGCCTGGCACAGCCCCCCGAGAGGCTCTGGGGGGCAGAACCCCACTCCTGTGCAGAGCCAGCCTTGGGGGCCAGCCGCTGGGAAGAGGTGTCCCTATGGAAAGGGGGTTTTTCCCTCCCCCAGGCCTTCAGGGAGTGAAGCTGAGGCTCTGTGGTAGCGCTGTGCCTGCTGCTGCCCGCCGGGAGCTGCCTCCTGCGCCCCTGCCGAGTGCCTTGTGCCGGCAGAGCCGCTCTGGGAATGCTGTGGCAGCAGCAGGGGATCAGAGCACCCCTTTCCTGTGTGTGCCGGGACAGCCCAGCTGCTCCTGCCAGGCGGGAGGAGTCCCTGGACACCAGCGCCCACCCCAGCATGCTGGAGGTGAAAAATCAGGGATGAGGTTTCCAAGGTGTCCCTGGGAGTGGAGACTGTTCCCTGAGCCTGCCCAGCTGGCCTCAGCTGTTCCATGACGTGCCTGAGCACGGTTTGTCTTGGAAATGGGAATTGTCTGGCTCAGCGGAGCTGGAATTTCCAGGTGAGGGCGGTGGCCGCTGCCCTGCTGTGACAGCAAAGCCCCGCAGAGCACAGGCTCCATCCTGGGCTCCGCAGGGATCAGCTTCCTTTGGAAAATCTGGCACCCAGGAAGCGCCATCTGCCTTCCACCTCATTCCGGATTTGGAACCAGAATTTCACTTCCCGGGTTTTTTTTCTTAGTTGCTTTGCTTGGGTTTTAAGTGTAAAAGCCGAGCTTACATAAAACGGGCGCTTCAGGTGATGTGTAAAAAGTGATTTTCTAGGTGAGCATCCTCCTCTGGCTGCTGCTGTCCCAGTGTTCCCATTGCAGTCTGTCCCCTGGGATGCAGTGAGGAGACCCATCCATCAATTTGCTTTTTTAGTACCCAAAGTCACGGGAACGCAGGTGAAGCTGGAAACGAGACTCGCAGCTGCCCTTCGGTTTTGCTAAACTAAAACCGAAAAGGTTGCAGGTCAACCACTGAGTTGCTATTTCAAACACGCTCCAAAAATATTCCCTGAGCTCTGGGATTTTGTGGGATGATGAGCTCTTTGGGGGTGGAAAAGCACACAGGGCAGGACAGGAACGGTGCATGATACGGGAATAACACAACAATTTTGGGCCCAAACAATCCTTGAAAGGATTATAAATAAAATAAATGTATTTATAAAATGCCCAGCGTGGGAGAAATGAGGCAGAACCAGAGTGAAAAATGCGATAACACAAACAGCGACCGCAGTTTTTCTGCGGTTCAGGAATGATTTAAAGAGCTGGGGGAAGGAGGATTCTCAAAAAGGATATCCAGGACTGGACTGCTGCTCCAGGTTAGCAGTGGATGGATATTTTTTCTCCCTGGGCAGTAAGGATGTGCCACGGGATACAGGGATGATGTTCCTTCCCTGTGTGGGAAGCTGGGATGGTTCTGTCACAATCTGCATTTTCTGTTCTCTCATTTTGTTTCATAACCTGCATTCCAAAGGCTCCGTGGATCACAGATTTATATCCCAAACCGCAGGGCACGGCAGAGTTCCCAGAACCAAAACTCCCCTGGATGATTTGCAGAAATCGGGGAGATGTCTGCTGCTTCCTCATCCTCCTGCCTCCGGAGGGGAGAACCTCTGGAATTCCCTGTCCCCACAGCCAGGAGTTCACCCCAGGCCGGGCACACATTTACACACCGAGCCTCTGGGCTCTGCAGGCCGAGCTGACACTAAAAAACATTTTTTTGGGAAGACTTAACAGCCAGAATTGTGAGATTTTTAAATCCTCGTTGATTTTATCACTTCTGAAAGGCTCTGCCCTGAAAGGTGGGGATTTGGTGTTGCCAGGTGAGGCTGTGGAACGGAACAGCCCCAGAGCTGGAACTCCCGGGCTCGAGGTTTTGTTCTTTATAAACGCTGGTGTTCAAGGTTGCTTTAGGCACGGAGCAGCCGCAGCTCTGGTTTTACCCTGCTGTGTATTCCAGGCTCTCAGTGGCTTTCCCCACTTCCAGCCTCCAGGGAAAGCCTTTGGAATCTCCTGGGTGCGTTCAGGGACGCAGCAGCCTTAGGGCAGGGGCCAAAACCCAGAATATCAGCGAGAAACTGAAATTTGAGCGCCGTTTCTATAGAAAAAAAGAGTTTGTTTGAAACCTCAAGGAGAAGGCTGAAGTGCCAACCAGCAAGAAGTTTCCGGAGGAGTAACCGGAGAGCCGCCGGTGTCGGGAATTCATTCCCCAGCGAAGCACTAATTAATTAATGAATTAATTCCGTGCAGGGCGCCGAGCTGTGTGGTTGTGTGTCCCGCAGTGCCAATCCCCCGTGTGGTGCCCTCCCCTGCCCTCCCCTGCGCCCCTTTAGAGTAGCGGGCAGCCTCCCCCGGCGAGCTCTGGCCGCTGAGAGCCGTGCCTGTGTTGCAGAGCCGCGCATCAACGCCAGCGAGGACGTGGTGCTGCACGTGGCCGGCACCGCCGTCACGCTGCAGTGCAACCTGAGCAGCAGCCCCAGCCCCCTGGCCGCCAGCTACTGGGTGAAGAACGGAGAGGAGATCCCGGGCACCAGGAAAGCTTCCAACACCACCGAGTACAGGTGGGTGGCCTCGGAGCGGGTCCGCTCGGGGCTCGCGGGTTGAGCTCTTGTGGGGGTTCGCTTGTCGGCTTCTCGGGGTTTTGTTGGCCTTGCCGTGTGTCGGGGTTTGTGCTGCTTGTCTCCTTAAGGGTGGATCTGTTACGTCCTCCCCGAGCCCAGAATCCTGGCTGGAATGAGGAGTGGGAGCTGTCCTGATGGGACACTTGTGGCTGGGTTATTTTTCCCCCTTGTACTGAAGATTGATGAGAGGGAGGCAGTTTTCTCTTGTTCAGATTTGGTTGTTTATTCTTCTTTTATCTACATTACGTGGATACAGGCTACAAGGAGCTACATGCACTAAGATAGAAAGGTGCAAAATGGCTAACAAGGAACTTTATCAAGGTCTTTTATATGTCTGTTTACCCAATTAACAGATACCAAGTTAATTATTTTTCTTAGTGACCCAATGACCCAACACCTGTGTGCTGCACTGCGGCATTCTCTACCCAATCACTTATTATTACCCAAAAACCCACAGAAGAGGAAGATGGAGAAGGACAAGAGACAACACCCTAAATCCTCCATCTTGTCTTTTGTTTTGTAAACTATCTTAAACTTTAAATTTCTCACCCAGTGACTTAAGAAAACTCTCTAGTTTACACACTCACACTCCTAGTTTTTCTATTTAAAAGTTGTTTTCAGGGTGTTATATGAAATTCAGTGTTTTCTTGGGTGTAAGGTACCAGAGATAAGGGCACACCCTGACCCCAGCAGGGAGGGATGGAGTTTGTGAGCTGCTGCTGTGGGATGGTCCCAGCCTTGGCAGTGCTGCCCTCAGGGTCGGTTCCCTCTGTGATTTTTGGTGCTGTTTTTCCTTTCCATCCCTTTTTTCCCCCGTGATGGACAGCAAATCCAGCTTCAGCTCCACGTTAGGCCAAGCTGAGGAGCGCTTTAGGGATGTTTTAACCCCTGCTGGCTGTTTTCTGTCTCTAGAGTGGCCCTTTCCCCCCTGCCTCACTGCCTTGGGATCAGGGAATGTTCCAGGCTCTCACAGCCTTAGCAGAGCAGCCTCTCTTCCACCACAGCATTGTGGAAGTTGGGTTTGATCCCACTAATGACTTCACCAAGTTTTTCCTTTTGTTTTCCCCCTTTAGCTTTGAATTTCCTGGTTAATTTTGCGGTTAAAATCCGTGTCTTGTTTCCTTCCGTGACTCCCTCGGTTCAGCCCCGGGCCTGAGCTTGAAAGGGAGCAATTCCCTGACTGAGAGCCGTGCTCAGCGTTCCTGGGAACTGCTCCTCATTTCCCAGGAAGGGCTGACTCCTCTGGGCTGGATTTTTCCTGCCAAGTTCCTCTGTGAAGGAAGGGATTGGGCTTGGCTTCAGTTCTAACTGCTGTGGAAGGAAGGGGGGAAGTGAGCGACCCCTTGTTCCCAGGGAATGGGGACTGTGGGAGCTCCCAGCAATCCCAGGGACGGCGGGAGAAATCCCAGATTTGCATTTGCAGAGCAGATCCTGCATTCCTGAGCGCTCCTTTGCTCTCGCTGGACTCAGGCTCTCTCTGCTCTTTGGTTTTGCCTTGGATCTGCTCCTTAGCTGTGCTTTGGTTGCACTGGAAATCCAGGAATTCCAATGCCAACTCCAATTCCAACTCCAGTTCCAACTCAAATTCCAATCTCAACACCAATCCCAATTCCAACTCCAGTTCCAATTCCGATGCCAATTCCAATGCTAATTCCAACACCAATGCCAATTCCAGTTCCAATTCCAACACCAATGCCAACTCCAATTCCAACTCCAGTTCCAACATCAATGCCAATTCCAGTTCCAATTCCAACGCCAATCCAAATTCCAGTTCCAGTTCCAATCCCAATCCCAATTCCAGTTCCAGTTCCAATCCCAATCCCAATTCAAATCCCAATTCTAGTTCCAATTCTAGTTCCAATTCCAGTTCCAATTCCAATCCCAATGCCAATTCCAGTTCCAATTCCAACGCCAATGCCAATTCCAGTTCCAATTCCAACGCCAATCCAAATTCCAGTTCCAATCCCAATCCCAGTTCCAGTTCCAATCCCAATCCCAATTCCAATGCCAATCCCAATTCCAGTTCCAGTTCCAATCCCAATCCCAATTCCAGTTCCAATTCCAATCCCAATTCCAATCCCAATTCTAGTTCCAATTCTACTTCCAATTCCAGTTCCAATTCCAATCCCAATTTCAGTTCCAATCCCAATCCCAATTTCAGTTCCAATCCCAATCCCAGTTCCAGTTCCTCCCTTGGGGCTCAGAGCAGCTGTACCCAAAGGGCGGCGCTTGGGCTGCTCTGCCATTGGAAAGTTGCTGATCTGAAATTAGTCCTTTAATTAATTAATTTTTAATTTATTTTTATATATTATTAATATATTTATTAACGTATAATATATAATGTATATGTATTTATACAATAATATGTAATATATAATATAAATTATATTTGTATTTATTTATTATTTTATATTTGGATTTAATTAATTGACGAATTATAATTTGAGATGGGGGTGAGTAAATGCTGTCAGTGCTCAGACCAAAGTCAGCAGTTTTTTCCATGTGGCTGAGCAGTTTAATTTTGTACTTAAATGATTTTATTGCAGGGTTTGTTCTGCCAGGGGGGTTGCTTTTTATTTTTTAAAATTATTTTATAATGGTAGTTATTGTTTTGATAATAAAATTAAAAAAAATTAAATTTTATTAAAATTAAACATTTAATTGATTATAAATTTTAGTGGAATAACTATGTTAAATTATTAAATTATATTAATTATACTAAATAATTAAACTAAAACTAATAAATAAAAATCTATTAAAAATGAAAATAATTTAAAATTATTATTCTATAATAATTATAATTTTAATAATAAAATTAAAATAATTAGTTATAGCAAATAGATTACATATTTTATTAAAGAATGAAAATATTTTAAATTAATTTTAAATAATTACTTTATAATAATTATTAATTTCATAATGTAATTTGATGTAATTAAATATATTAAAATTACTAAACTATTTTATTAAAGAATAAAAACATTTAAAATTCATTTCAAATTATTTTATAATTATTTTAATAATAAGATTAAAATATTTTAATTTTATTAAAACTAGAAATGAAGCTGTTAGAAATTTAATGAAAAATATGTTTAATGATTAAAAAATAATATAATTAATGATATAATTATAATATTAAAATACTATTAAATATTATATAATAATATTTATAATTATATATTGTTTTATATATAATCACATATAATATAATAAATATATATTTATATAGAAATTATATTGTCTATATAAAATATATGTTATATTATTATGTATTATAATTTATATTACAATGGTTTTATATATTATATTAAATACATCTATTATATTTTTATAATTTGAACAACGAAATAAATTTAAAGAACAAAATAATTAATTAAAAACATTTAACTTTTTTTTTTAAAAAAAATAAAATTTTTGCATTAAAATTACTTCAAAATCAATTAAGAAGAACAGAAGCCGAGGAGCCTTTTGGAGGATGAAGCTGGGGGGTGGGGGTGGGTTCTGATCACAGTGAGCAATTAGCAGGTGTTAATTGTTAATGAATGATTGATGGGTGCTGTCCCGTGTGCTGCAGGATCGCCAAGGCCCGAGCAGAGGAGTCGGGCGAGTACCTGTGCGTGTTCGTGTTCTCCGCCTCGCCTGTCGCCAACGCCACCATCGAGGTCCGAGGTACGGCCCCGCGCCTCCCTGTGCCTTCCCAAACAATCCTTTACTGCATCCGTAAAAACCCGGCTCCCAGGGACCCTGAGCCTCCCTGTGCCTTCCCAAACAATCCTTTACTGCATCCATCAAACCCTGGCTCCGAGGGACAGCTCGTGGGGAGAGCTCGCAGAGCCTCCCAGGAGGCTGAAATTGGGAATGGGAAATTGGGAATGGGAAATGGGGAATGGGAAATTGGGAATGGGAAATGGGGAATGGGAAATTTGGAACGGGAAATTGGGAATGGGTGAAGTTTGCCAGTGGTGCTGCTGGGGCAGCCACAGGGCAGCTCTGAACTCCCAGGTGTGGATGTGCAAAACATGCTCACGGTGAGAGACTGCTCCAGGGTCAGGCTGTTCAGGTATTAAATGATATAAATGATACAGTTTATAATAGTTTATTGTTTGGGTTTCTGCTGCCAGCCACAGCTTACACATGATCAGGGAGGGAGAGTGGAGAGAGGAATGTGGGAGCATGGGGGAAGAAGGTGATTAAGGGGGCACAGAAAGAGGGGCCAGAGGGGGTAAGAGCAGGGAATAAGAGAAGTGAGAGTGGGTAAAAGTAAGAGAGAGGGGAGAGCACTTAAGAGAGAGAGTAGGAGAAGGGAATAAAAGTTAAGAGAGGTGTGGGTACAGAAGTTGAGAGAGGGTAAGAGTTAAGAGAGCTGGTAAGAATAAGAGAAGCGTGGGAGTTAAGAGAGCAAAGTTCTTGTTACAGTACATGATACCCTTTTCTATAGAGAATGTTCCAATTCCCAGTAACCAACCAGTACATGACACACATTCTATAGAATTTACATATAGGAACTACTACATTGCCATACAGTGTTACATTTCAAACTCTGAAAGCTTTACAAATTCTCCTCTTGCTGCTGGACCTTTGGATTCTCTGTCTGCAGAAGGACATTGTTCAATCAACAGGGATTCTCCTTCAGCTGGCTTTGGTTATACAATAACACTCAGTATCCTATAGCTCAGAGCATGCTTTCATTTCTGTTTCGATTCTAGGTTTCATATTTTCAGAATCTTTTGCTAAACAATCATATTCATAAGGTTTCCCTGATTCATCCTCCCCAACTCCCAGGGAGTTTGGGAATTGCTGGTGCCCTGGGATCTGGCTGGGAGCATCCCTCAACCTGTGGGAAATGGGATTCCATCACCCCATGCCTCTGAAGGGCTTGGCTGGGTGTTTGGGGTGGAAGGGTTTCATTTCCCTTCTTTTCCTTTCCTTGGGGATTTTTCCTTTCCCTCTGATTGCTGAATCTCCCGATGTTCAAAATTCAAAATGTGAGTTCCAGCTGCCTCCTCTGGGCCGCTTGAGGTGACAAAGAGAGGGGAAATGGAGCTTTGGGAGCGGAGCATGGCCTGTGCCAGCTGTGATGATCCAGGCACGGCCCTTTTGAGGCTTTTTGGGTTAGCTTTTGGTGCTTGGCTGCTGCTCTTGCAGGCAGGAGAGCTCGGCAGGGAGCTGGGAGCTCACTCTGGGGGCAGAAAAAACAATATCTGTGATTGAAGCGTGAGGAGAACCGATCCTACTCGCTTCCCACAGGTGATTTACACCTCAATACTCCTCAACCGCTGCTCCTGGGGATAATTAATTATCCTGGGGATAATAAATGGGGATTGCACTTTGGGCAGATGTGAGGGGCAGGCACCTGGGCTGCCCGTGCACATCTGTAACCCAGTATTTACCTGCATGGGTCGTGTTGGTGCTGGAGCAATCACAGCCAGATTTAATTGCTGGCTGTAATTACGGTGCAGCTCTCGCTGCTGCTGCACAGGGAAAGGAGGGGGCTCCAAAAATAGGGATTTTTCTGACAGCTCGTGAACAGCTTCCCCAGAGCCCAGGGCGTGCTGCTGCCTCCCCAGCCCCTCCAAAAACAAGCTTCAATTTTTATTTTTTTAATAAAATTTTAAAAAGTTTAACGGAAAGACAGTTAGGAGATAGAAATAATAGATAAAATAATAGATAGAAAAAGCAAATTGTAGAAATAATTATTATTTTGATAATAAAATTAATTTAATTTTATTAAAATTAAAAATTTAAATAATTATAAGGCCAGGTTATATCATTCTATCATTATATGAGGCTGGGTGCCTCAGCATTCAGCCAAGAGAGCAAACCTCACTAACAAAGGATTGTCCTAATACCATGCTACAGCCTCAAAAATACATAAATATACGTATTACGCCACTATTTCTAAGTTCTATCAAGAACAGAAACAAAACTATATTAATACAGCAAGGTTTTCCAATTTTATGCACACAACATTCATTTTAATATTTGGAAAATCCTCTCACATCCCCCATTCTCCCGGCGCTTTCGGTATCTTCAGGCTCCAGAGGGAAGCAGGGATTGGAGTCATGACCAGAAAAGGAAACCTTCCCGAGCCCCTGTTCCAGGTCACACATCCCAGTTTGCAGTGCAGGAATATTTTTAGGTGCTTTTCCCCTGCTTTAATTTTGTCTCTTAATGGGAAACTTGAAGGTAACTGGGCCACGCGTTGGGCACGTTACACATTTAAATTTCCCTGACCTTTCCAGTAAAGAGCTTGGAGGGGCTGGATGCCTCCTGTAGATGAGGAAATGAATTTTCCTGGCTGTGTGACCCCCAGAGCCTTCAGAAAGGTGCTGCACACCGAGTTCTGTGCCTGCTGGGAGTACAGGAATTCCAACCTTCCTTTGCCAGGGGCATTCTCCTGGTGCCAGTGATGGAGCTGAGCAGAGAGGAGACTCTGAAAATCCAAATCCTTCCCAAATAAACCTGGGGCAGTGCGAGGGGCAGTCCTGCCTTGAAAAGCTTCCCAGGAAAAACCTGCTAGAGCTGGGCTGCAGGGATCTGGGGACAGCAGAACACAGTTTCCTGCACTCTTTGGGCAAGGAAACGCTGGGCTCGAGTCTGGGTGGTGGCACCGAGCCCTGAAACCCTGCCCAATGCTCCCAGGGAGCTCCAGGAACAGCCCTGGCCCAGCAGAGCCAGCGAGGAGCCAGGGAGGTGTGGTGGGCACTGCTGCTCTGCTGGGATCACCCCTGGGCTCTGGGATCACCCCTGGGCTCACCCCTGGGATCTGGGATCACCCCTGGGATCAGACCTCTCCCTCCAGCAGTGGCACTGGGTCACTCTGGAGTAGGAGTGGTGTCCCAGAAATCATTCCCTCCTTTCCCCTTCCCAGCCTGACACAAACTGGGCCAGCTGGGAGTGCTGTCCCTGTTCCCTTTCCCAGGCTCTGCTTGGGATGGTGCTGGGAGCCAGCCCATGGGAGCTGCAGCTCCGAGCTGCTGAATGCCATCACTCCTTTTCCTCATGGGATCGTTCCCAGTCTGCAGTCCCTTGTGCCATCCCATCCCATCCCATCCCATCCCATCCCATCCCATCCCCATCCCATCCCATCCCATCTCGGCATCGCTGCCTTGTCCCCGCTGGGNCATCCCCATCCCCATCCCCATCCCCATCCCCATCCCATCCCATCCCATCCCATCTCGGCATCGCTGCCTTGTCCCCGCTGGGCTCCCGTGTCTGTAGGCTGGAGGAGCTCCCTGCAGGAAGCAAAAGCCACAGGAGCTCCCCCAGCTCCTGCTTTGGGAACACCCTGAGGCCAGCAGGGAAGTGGTGGCACCTTCCAAGCTGGAATTGTCCTCTGGAGCCCTCATGATTTGGAATCGATGCCATTTTCCTCTCCGAGGCTGGGAGGGTGCAGGAGCTCTGCAGTGCCTGGGATCCCGGAGCAGCACAGCACACCCAGCCCCAGTTCATCTGATTTCTTTCCCCACTTGGATTGATTTCCCACTTGAGGAGCTGAAGCTCAGAAATTCCGTTTGCTCCAGGTGTTCCTGCCCCTTGCAGGCACAGGGAGTGTGGCATCACCTGGCAGGTGGGGAATGCTCTTCCTGCAGCTCCTTTTTGTAGGAGACCCGGGCACTGTTTGGATCTGGTGCCTTCATTCAGGTCAGGCTTTTTGTCTCTCCGAGTGTTTTTTTTGTCCAATGTAGAAAGATTCATTTTGGGTTTCCTTAAATAAACCCCTTGGGTTTGTTCTCGGCCCGTTCCTGCCTATCACAGCTTTGCTTGGCATCATCTTGGAATGAATGAGTCAGCATCTGGCTGAGCTTCATCCTTTGCTCAGGACTCCTGCAAAGCCCAGGGCTCTTGGGAATGCTCTTGGAATTTCCACGGGCGCTTGGAGAACTCCTCTCCTGGCGTGCCTTGGCAGGTGAACGCACACGGGCAGGAGCTGCAGCTCAGCTTTTCCCGCAGCCGTGGATTTCCTGTGCTTCCCAATCTCACGTCAGCTTGTTTTCCCAAAGATTTGTGCTGTAATTTTGGGAAGAGCAGGCTCAGCTGCTGTTGGGTGGCACGAGAGGTTTTGTTCCCTTTGAGCAGAGCGGTGAAATTGCCTTCATCACCTCAGCTTGCAGCTGCAAGTGCTCCCTCTGCGTATCCTGTAGGAAATTCCCGATTCCTGGAGCAGCCGGGCTGGCCTTGGCTGGATTAACAGCTCAGAGCTGCCATCATACAGCCAGCCACGTGTGCTGTAATTAGGAGCTGCAGCTTTAACGGTGGGCCCTGCACCCGGGGCCATCTGCTGGGCCAGGGGTCAGCCCAGGCACTGCCCTGAGCCAGCCTGAGCTCGGGGAGGGGTTAGGGCTGCTCCCAGGGACACAAATAGGGCACGGGACACAAATAGGGCACGGGACACAAACAGGACATGGGACACAAGCAGGGCACGGGACACAAACTGGGCACAGGACACAAGCAGGGCACGGGACACAAACAGGGCATGGGGTTTAGGGTTGCTCCCAGGGACCCACACGAACAGAGCACAGAGGTTTAGGGCTGCTGGGGAGAGTTTAGGACTGCTGCCAGGGACACACCCAAACAGGGGCACGGGATTTAGAGCTGCTGAAGAGGATTTAGGGCTGTCCGGGAGGGTTTGGGACTGCTCCCAGGAACACAAACAGGATACAGGGTTTAGGGCTGCTCCCAGGGACAAACGGGGTACGGGGTTTAGGGCTGCTCCCCCCACACCAACACAGTTCTTCCATAAAATCCCCTCAGTGTGGGAAAGCAGAGCTTCCAGGGAGCCGGAGGGATTTTTGTCCCGATGAGTGGAAGAAGCCTGTTTGTACTCAACAAGTTGCTCCGTTGTCTCGTAGCCACTCCTGACATCACCGGGCACAAGAGGAGCGAGAACAAAAACGAGGGGCAAGAGGCCCTGATGTACTGCAAGTCCGTGGGCTTCCCCCACCCCGAGTGGGTCTGGCGCAAGAAGGTCAATGGGGTGTTTGAGGTAAGGACAGGGGGTCAGGGTGCTTCCACCTGCCCAGAGCCCAGAGAGGGAGGAAAAGCAGCAGCCTGGGGTTAGGGATGGGCTGTTGAAGGTGCACTGTAACTCCTCAAAGTGCAATACCTCCAGAGTGTGAGTGGGTATTTTCAGCAGTGGTGAGGATGGATGGGTGAATATAAAATTGATATTTCTATTATTGGTATGTGAAACAAGCTGCTTGCTGCATTGCTGGGCAAAGTTAAGAACTTACCCTGAAAGCTGTTTTCTGGAATTTGCTACAAACTGCAAGATCTGAGTTAGGAAACACGATCTAAAACCACACTGGGTTATAAATTCCTCCAAGTTTCACTGGTTAAGCTCACAAGAGTTGATCTGAGGAGGTGGCAGTGATGTCCATTAGAGCTTGGGTGATCTGTTCCGTGCAGCCAGCGATGTAGTGAGCAGGAAAACGTGACCAGCAGAGAAGAGCTGGGAATTTCTAACCCCTGTTTCCTGTTGCTGCATGACCTGCCAGGGAGGCAGAGTTGGATGGATGGAGCCCAAACGTGAAGCAAATAACAGGGTGGGATGAGTGTTCCCTGCTGGGTGTGAGCTGAAGGTTTGAAGGAGTGGCTGAGTGCAGTGGTCGGGCCCTGAGTGCGGGGCTCCTTCGTGGTGTTTGGTGGTGTTGCTCCTCCCTCAGATCTCCTGTTCTCGTGCCACAAAGCCCCAGAAGTTCAAAGCTGTTGCTGTTTCCCACCCCCATCCCTTTGCCAGGACATCAACAACTCCTCGGGCAGGTTCTTCATTTCCAACAAAGAGAACTACACCGAGCTGAGCATCACAAACCTGCAGATCAACGAGGACCCTGGCGAGTACCAGTGCAATGCCACCAACCAGGTGGGCTCCGTGTCGGTCACCACCATCCTGCGCGTGCGCAGCCACCTGGCCCCGCTGTGGCCCTTCCTGGGCATCCTGGCCGAGATCGTCATCCTGGTGGTCATCATCGTCATCTACGAGAAGCGGAAGCGGCCGGATGAAGTTCCCGACGGTAAGTGCGCCCAGCGCCACCCGTGAGGGAGCGCGGCCCCGCCGCAGGAACCGAGGGGCCTCGCGCAGGAAGGACCAGCAGCCCGCTCTGTCCCGCTCCACGCTCCTGCCTCGCTCCTCTCCTCCCTCTCCGGACATTAAGCCCGCAGGGTGCAAGGCCCAGGGCTGGATTGCGGACCGTGGCGTGGGAGGGGGTTTTGGGGTATCTTTAGAGCTTTGCTCCTGTCTCTCTCCTGAGAATCGCTGTCCATCCGCCCCCAAGGAGCGTGGGGCAGCACAGGGGCAGAGCTGGCAGCGCCCTCGGCCCCGGTGGCCTTCCCTCCTTCCCGTGGCATCGGCCACTGGGCAGGGGCTGTGAGGGAGCAGTGCACTCAAACTGAGGAATCACTGCACTTGAGGGGATTGGGGCTGCAAAGGTGCTTCAAAACTGTGTCCAGGCTTCAGCAACGGGGGGAGGGCTCTTAACGCTGCTGCGTGGCTGAATGTGTAGTTAAGGAATGCTCTGGAACCCATAGCTAATTGTAGCCACTGATTATATTTTATAAAAATAGGGCTTTTAATCAGGTTTGATGGTAGCAATAATTAATTATTTAATCTGTGTTTGGTACGTACAACTAGTAGTAACTTCTATCTATGAGCTTCTCCTGCACACCTTTCCCTGTTCACAGTTGGGGAAAGGGGCAGTGTGAAGCCGAGTATTTGCAAGATCCCTGCTGAGGAGCAGCCTTTAATGTGCTGCTCGCAGCTTACTCCAGTGTGTAGCAAGAAACCCTGTGCAAGGACTCCTTGGTAGAAGCAGCAGGAATGTGACGGTGCTGTAGGAACACGATGGATCCAAGCGTGGAGCAGGTGGAGGGCAGCGTGCTGGAGATCCTCAGCACCATCCCGGGCTGGCCAAGCCTTTCCCAGGGAGAGCTGGGTGGGGCTGTGGGGCTGCAGGGTTGGGCCCTCGCAGGCCATGAAAACAGAGGTGTGAGAGAGCGGTCTGCATGCGGGGTGGGCACAGCCACCTTCACGGGCCTCACGTGGGACCCCCAGCGAGGAGAGGAACTCGTGGAACACAAATGGAATCATGGGAGAAGGGCCAAGGCTTGGATCAGAACTGGCTGAAGCAGTGCATCCCTAGAGGAAACCAGCTTTGGTTGTAAGCCTTGAGTAGCACTTACTAACTGCTTCCAGAGCATGTGTGGGGGCTGCTCTCGGGGTGGAGCCCCCAGGTTGAACCGTAGTGCATGTACTGTGCATCACTAACAGCTTCCCGTGCCTCTGGGGCCTGCCCTGCCCTCAGTGTGGCCTCGGGGACCTCCACCAGCCTGGAAAACTTGGGACAATTTTCATTTTCCCTTGCACGTACCCACCTCCATGTCAGTCATTCCAGTTCCCCGCATTCAGAATTTTCATTGGATGAAGTTTCAGAAGGACCAAAACAAGGTCCTGGGAATTTGATAGGCAAATATTCCCTGGAAGCAGCCCCAAATGGACTGAATCCAACAGGAATTGGCTTTGGCGTGACCCGATGGCAGCACAGCTGCTGTGGTAGCACAGGGGAGCTCCCTCTGGAGGTGAAGGATTCACTGACTCTTTCCATGGTGGGAGTTTTCCTGGCTGGTCTGGCCACTCCTCAGGTACCCGAGGGATCCAGGCTCATCATCCCCCCGGAGCTGTCCGGGATGATGAGCCAAGGAGCTGAGCTTGCTCCAGTGCTCACTGGGGACACTGTGTTGAAGGAGAGTGACATGAGGCACCTCCATGGGGGTCAGGTGTTCTCCCCATCCCCTTTCCTGGAGGAGAAATCCATGCTGAGTATGACAGTCCATCCCTGTGGATGAGGTTTGCCTGGCTGATGGACACAGTCGGCGTCGCGCCGCCTGAGTCCCACGTTCCTTGGATAGCTGTGCATTTTCCGTCCTGGCACTGAAGCTTCCTGTGCTGCCGTGGTGGAGAACGCCCCGGGAGCAGGGCATGGACAATCGGGAGCCTCCTGATTCCCACGTGTGTGGATGTTTGAACCTGGGTTATCCCAAATTTTCAAGACATGGTTATGAAATGCCAAAGTTAATGCCGGAATGCAGTGGCGTGCTCGGTGTTTGGAATTTCAGCTCCCTCTTCCAAAATCACCCCTCCGCCTCTGCTGCTGCGGGGAAGGAGCGTCGGGGAGCTGAGGCTGAGCCAAACACCACAGCACTCGTTATCCACAGCATCTGGCACCAGCCAGGATCTCTCCGCCGGCTTTTCCACTCCTGGTGTCAGTGGGATGTGCTCAGCCTTAGGGATCGTGCTCGTGGCAGAGCTCCACCTGAGGTGGTGCTACAACAACCATTGAGCTGGTGCTGCCCTTCCTGATGGCATGGGAATGTTCTCCTCGGACCTCTCCAAATTTAGACACTGAGATTGCTTCCCCATCATCATTGCCACCGTCACCCCAACTTCCCGGGGTGGGGCAACTCTGGAACGCCCTTCCGGAGTCCCCAGGTGTCTGTGGTGTGTCAGCCCGGGTCCCACAGCAGGAGTGAGCATGGATTGCCCTGTGGATGAGTGCCCGGGGATCCTTCTGCTGGGGGATGACCACTTCCAAGGATTGTTGTTACAAGCTGCGGAAAGCCAGTGCTGCTAAAGGCGGCCACTTCCTGTGCTCAGGAAAATCAAAGGCTTTTGGAGAAGGAGCTGTTAATGAGCTGCGGGTGCACACCTTGGCACCTGCCCGGAGCAGTTCAGGATGAGCTGCTCCTCTTGGAGTCTGCTAGGAGCTGCAGGTGCCCACCATGAGCCCAGGTGATACTTCAGGGCCGGCTCAGTTAAAGCTACACAAATGACAGTGTTTGGGGTGTGCCGGGTAAGTTCTTCAGGTGAGACCAGTCCGGTGCTGAGCACAAGTGCCCAGTTAGTCCTGGGGGTCGTTACTGGAGGGACAGAAGCGTTCCCTGGGTGAGAGGATCCTCAGGTGTCTGGAGCTTTCCCCCCAGCACTTGAGAAATCTGCGTGACCAGCCCAAAGATAGAATTGATTGAATTCTCTTTCCCTCTGATCTCCATGTTCTGCAGGCTTCAAATGCCCTGGCTCCGTGTGCCCATGGCTCCATCCCTGGGAGGTTTGGGAGGGTGATGGACTCCTGGGTACACTTGGAGCAGTGTTCCCAAAACACTTCCCAGTGGAAAGATGTTCCCTCTGTTGGAAGCACTGCCGTGCTGGAAGAGCAGGGACGCTCCTTTAACTTTGGCATTTCCTGACTGCAGGGCTGGGTTTTGCATGGACCTTGCTTTGTGTGTCCGGTGAGCTGCTTGGCGTGCCTCGGGCCAGGGCTGCTCAGGAGCTCTTTTGCTGATGTTTCCTCCTTCTCAGAACTCTGATTTGGGACCCGATTCTTTTTCCCTGCTGCTGGAGAGCAGGAAAAGGAACGTCGCACCCGTGAAATCCCTGTTGCCACCAAAATGGTGGCATAAGGGGGTGCCCAGCAGGGGGTTTGCTGCGGAGCCTGTGGATGAGGGGTTCTCCCAGCACATCCAAATCCTGTGCTGGAAGGAGGAAGGGAGGGCAGCTGGCGCTTGAATCCCCGCATCCTTTCAGAACGCCAGTTCTGACTTGCCTTACGCCCGGTAAGGCAGTGCTCAGCGGCCAGGGGCTGGTAGATCCAGAGGGGGCTGGCCACGTTTGGCTTCCGTAGCTTTGGGGGCGAGTGCTGCATGAGCCTGGCATGCCCTGGCACGTGGCTGCATGCCCGGCGGGACGCGGGGCCAGCAGGGAATGCCGGGGTGTTCCCCGGGCACGGAAGAAAGGAATGGCTTTGTTCCTCCTGCCTGGTTTCCATAGATGGAGCCATCAGCCAGCACCACTGAGCGTAGCGTAGCAAAGGCTCCCAAAGGGAGTTGGCTTTCTGCTGGTGTTGGATCAAACAGTCTAAAATCAGCACAGCCCTGGGTTAAAGGGGGTTTTCTGGGGTAAGTAGACAGTAAAAGCCCCTTGGCTCCATTTCCCTGAGGAGTGGGAGTGGTTTTTACTTGTAAATCCGTAGTCCTGATCTTGAGTCTGAAGCCATGAGGTGACTGGGTTATAACGTGTCCCTTTTCATTCTTCCCCTCTCATTCCTCAGCCTAACCCTAAGACTTCCCATAAATGTGTTTCTTCTCCTGGCTCTGCAGAAGCTCCATCCAAATCCCCACATTCTTTCTAACCCTCTTTTGCTTTTTTCTTGACTTTCCCTGTTCCTGCTATTACTGTAAGTAACTGAAAGAAACAAACTGTTTTAACTGCAACCGTTTGCCTTTTGTAACCAGTGATTTTGGTGGGGTTTTTTTTTCCCTTTTATGCACATCTTTCTCTCCCACACTTCAAAATTTGTCAGGGGGAGCAGATAGCGAGGCCACAGCCATCACCTGTTCCCAGCAGCGTCGATGTCTCCCAGGGGGAATGGACCATAGCACAGGACCTTTGTCACAGGCTCTGGCTGCTCCTTCAGAGCATTCAGCTGCCCCTGGATCCCTGGAGGTGCCCAAGGGCAGGATGGACAGGGCTTGAAGCACCCTGGCACAGTGGAAGGTGTCCTTGCCCATGGCACTGGATGGACTTTAAGGTCCCTTCCAGCCCAAGCCATTCTGGGATTCTTTGCAGGTTTTAAAGCATGAGCTGAGATGTAGAATCCCTTCAGAAGCAAAAATTGGAATCTTAGCTGGAAGAACTGGCTAGTGCTTCATTTTTAACTTCCACCAGTCACAAGATGCTACCCAGGATTAATTTGGTACTAAAAATAAACCCTGTAGCTTTCCAAAGGCGGTGAAAGAAACTGAGTGACATACAAAATGCCTTGTAAATTAAGGCTGAAAGTGGAGGGGGGGGGCACAAAACACATTCCCATACAAGTGGAGGAGCTAAGGAAGATCTACTTGTCATCCTCTTCCAATTTTAATTCCCAGATATTTCTGCCTGCAGGGATTGATTACATGTGTTAAAGCCAAGCAGCAGTTCTCTCATTTTGGTTCAGGAATGGGCATTTTCATTCCATCCCCACAGGAAGGGCCTGGCTGTGGGGGTTATTCCTGAGCTCTGTAACCTCAGGGGGGTTTTGGAGCCTGCAGATGCTCGGTCCCAGTGGAGATCCTGCAGGAGGAGCACTGGGGGATGTCCCTGTGCCATAGGTGGTACTGACTGTTCTAGAGCAGGGCTGTGGCATTAAAGCTTTGGGTTATATTGATCTTGTCGGTTACTATGACTTCTTTTTTTTTTTCCCCCCTTCAATTGCATCATACCCTTAAAAAATGGTGGTAAGTGAGAGCTCTGCATGCTTTGGAGTTTGTTTAACCTCCGCTTCAGTCTATACAACGCACAAGTCATAACGTTAACACTCTTGAAAACTTCCTCATTCACGTTCACGACTAATTTGGATTTCAGTTTGCTGTTTTGAACCTTTTCTTTAGTCTGATTTTGTACTGGTTTTTCTGTTGTTCTGTTGCCCCTGGTTTCACTGAGGGTTCGGTCTGTGTCTGTACTGTACTGGGGATGCTTTTCCAGCATTTAACGCCCAACCGGGAATTTCCCTCGGTCTTTTTATCTCTGGTTTAGGTTAGAGATGGGACAGGGAGGAGTGGTGGGGATCCACCATCTATCTAGTTAAAGTATTCCATTAGGCTTTTTTTGTGGGATCTTCGTGAGGAATCACCGATGGCAGCCTTTATAAATGTGAAGCTTCTTTTTTTTCTTTTACTTTTTTTTTCTTTTTTTCTTTTTTTTTTTGACAACACAAACTTGCTGATTTGAACTGGGCATTTAAGTCTTTGAGCAGAGAAGGGAAAATGGTTATTTTGTAGTGAGCGTCCACAGTGCAGTTTGATATTGCTGAAGTCCAGCCAAACAAACTCCCAAAGCTGTCGATGGTGCTTGTTGGAGCCGAGTTGGGTCTCAGAGGCAGCGCTGGCGTTGGGGGCCAGGGCTCGCTGTTCTTCCCAGGCTCGTCCCACCCGGAGTGCGGAGCTGGGCTGCTCTCGGATCCTTAAGTCCCAAAGACGTTTGTGGAAGGAAGCCATAGATTCCTCAGCTGTGCTTTGTGTTTGAGTACCTGATGTGTCTCTGTATATCTCACTGTATATACAACAGCACATTGATGTCTGGCTGTCCTTCCTGGTCCCAGTTCTCTGTACCGTGTCCGATAGTTACTGTTGCTGGTACTGGAATTCTGTGGACACCGGTGTGTTGCTAGTCTGTTACTTTGGCTGTAAAGCTCTTGGTTTGTGGTTAGTTCTTTATTTTTGAAGTATTTTTTGTTCTGGTCACTGTCTGTGCTAGCGGTGGCTTTGCCTCTCCGTTGCCTGGAAGGCGCGGGTGGAGTAATGTCCCCTCTCCCCGACATTACTCCTGGCGTGTGCTCATGCGGATGCCTACACTGTAAGACTGTAATTTCCATAACTGCTTCATGTGCACTAAGCACCCTTGTGGAATCCTGCTGAGAGTTTCTCAAAGACTTCCCCGAAAAATCCCTCCGGCACAAGGTGGGAATGGCAACTGTCAAGTGCCAAAGCCAGCAGGGCCTGAATTGGTCCCCCCAAAATCCATCTGTGGGAGCATTCAGTTCCTGGATTGACTCTTGGACTGTTGTGGAAATGCATTTCTGTCTTCTGTACTGCAGCGTGGGAGAAAATAGTGTTTGAGAATTCCAAAAAAAAAAAAAGCCCAATTGGTCATGAGAGTTAATATGAAACATTCGTCATTGGCAGATTTCCTCCCCTCCCTCCCCCCGCCAGTTCTTAAATAAGTTTTGCCAGGGGCCATGGGCAGGACGATGCCGTCAGTCCTCCGCAGGTGTCCCAGCACTCCCGACTCCTCGGATGCTGCTGCCCATGGCTGGGGCTGGAATCCAGTGTCCCTCTTCAGCCTCCTCCTAACCTGAGTCCCTTCTAATTAAACTCCGAGAAAAATGGGGAATGTAGAGGTTGTTTCATCCACGGGGGAAAATGAGTGTGGGGTATGTACCCTCTGGGGTATATACACCAGGAGTTACCCATCAGTAAGCGATGCAGTGGAAAAATGGCTTAAAAATTTAAATACATATTAAAAAAAAAAAGTCAATGCAAGCAAACATCCAGCAGGATTTTACAACTGAACCGTTGGTTTGTCTCCTCATCTTATTTTTAATGAGATTGAACCACTGGAACTTGGGGACAAGATGAGTCTTGACCGTGTTGCACCAATCTGTCCGCTACAGTTGCAGTCCTTCATGACCAGCATTCCAAGTGTTAACTAAACCCATTGAAGCAACATACCTGCCATTAAACCCGAATCCAGAGCAGTAACTCCATGATCCTTGCACTCCCAACTTGAATGGCCTTTGATGCTGTAGATAGACCAGTTTGCTGCTCGCACTGCGGCCCCCTGCAAACACTGACTGTCTCTCTCTTTCCTTCCCTTGTCTCTCCCTGCGTGCATCGGGATGCTTGCTGCAGATGATGAACCAGCTGGGCCAATGTAAGTGTGTTTTCAGGAAAAAAACCCTCTTTGGGTTAATCTGGGGGGGTTGTGGGAGGTGATAAATCATAGGATTGATATTGCATGTGACATTACAGATGGTGTTGGACCGTCTGGTATGTTTCTTAGCACTGGAGGAAAGAAAAGCAACATCTTGCTAGAAAACAAATGTGCTAAAATATAAAGTTTACAGCAGCGCTGTCTTCAGCCAGTTAAAGGGAGGAAGACAGAAATGCTGTTTAATGAAGTACAAATAATGTCCATTTTCCCTTGTACCCGTGACTGATTCCTGGTCTCATCCCTTTTTGCAGGAAAACCAATTCTACAAACAATCACAAAGACAAAAACTTACGTCAGAGAAACACAAATTAAAAATGCTCATCATGTAAGTATTGCCTGTGCCCGGCCGGGAGCGGGCAGGCCCAGCCCTCCTGCCCAGAGTGCTGGGGGCACGGCAGCAAACTCCTTCCCCGGATTAAAACATTCCCGCTGCGCCTCGGGGAGCGCGGGGGGGACCAAACATTGATTTCCACAAACAGGCGGGTGGTTTAAGGACCTGCTTACTAAAATGTAGACAAAGCTGCCGAGCCCTCCTGATTTCCCCACTGAAAGGTGGAGCTGGGACTGTCGGGAGCCGTGCCCCAGTGGGAGCGCGGGGATTGGAGGCTGCGGCGGCTCACACTGTTCACCATTGACTAGCACCTCTTTCTCGTTTCTTTTTTAGAGCTTTAAGTTTCTGAGAGACTGATGGCAATATGACCTGCTAAATTTAAGGGTTGGAACTCTTGGTTCTAGAACTCCAGTTCTGTCTGATTTCTTTTTTTTTTTCTTTCCTTTCCAAGTGAGCAACAATATGACTGTCTAACGCATGCCTTATTTAGCCTCTCCTGCAAGGATGACCTAGCCAGATGAATTTTAATAATGCTTCCGTGTAGAAGGTGTAAACTCTTTTGGGCTTGATGTGCTGTGAATGTTGCTTTTTTTTTTCCTCCTTTCCTCTCTTTACACGAGCAGTAGCCAGGCGGGTTCACGCATGCGCTGTTTTTTACTTCCTGTAGCTGTTAAATTCGGCACCGCTCAAACCGCACCGCTGCCATCTAGTGAGACTTCTTTTGTAAAGTACAGCAAAACTTAAAGATATATACAGTATATATTTATATTTGGGGGAGGGGAAACCAGAAGTCATTGTGGTTCATTTTGAAGCTGCTGATATTCATTCCTTACTGTATGGCTGGAAGGAGGGGAGTGATGCCGGGCAGGCACATTGGAATTTCCTTAAGGGCTTTAATCGTGGAGCGCGGGGTGTCCTGTTGGGTGTCAGGGCTGGGTGGTGCCAGGGGCTGCTGGTGGTGGTGGGATGCAGTTGGAAACAAAAACAAACTTTCAGTTTATAAATATATATATATGATTGCTTTTTCAGTGATTTTTGGTTTGGTTTTTGTTTTTTTTTTTGTTTTTTTTTTTTTTTTTTTTTTTTTTTTTTGTTTAAATGATGAAATGTTACAGCATGGTGATATTCTATGCAACTAGTTATTCCTCTTTAGTTTGACACTGTAATTTCTCTTGATTTAAAGATTGTAGAAATAGACCTACCAGGGTTCTCATGATGTGCGTAACTGTAGCTGCATGAACTCGTGTTCTGTGTATTTGTTGAAGTGCAATGATGTATAAAAAGTGGATTCACCTGTTTTTAAAAATAAAACACCGACAAAAACCGCTGTAGGCCTCGTTTTTCAACCTTTAATGGCCGGAGCCGCACGCTCCCCACGGAGTGCCGGGCGTGCCTCACTCCTCGGCGAGCCTGTGCAGTTCCCTCTCCACGTCCTCCACGAAGGCTGGGAAGTGCTGGTCCATGAGGCAGAGGCGGATGAAGGGCCCCAGCTCCCGGGCGCTCCAGGCCGGGTGCGGCAATGCCGGGGGCAGCTCCGGCCGCTGCCGCAGCACCGACTGCCAAGGGAAGGTTGGAAGTGTGGCTGTGAGCTCGTCCGCGACACAGGCGTGCCCCAGCCCTGCGTTTGGTGCTCTTGGAATGCTGTCAGCCAGCTGTGGTTGTGTATGTGAGCTTTTCTCTCATGCCCAGGTGTGATCCCAGAGTAGCTTTTACACAATGTGAAGTGCCCCTGCAGTTATTCCAGCTGGAAATCTACCCTGCTTGGATCTGTTCTGTAATCAGTGTATGCTCTTTATGAGCTGTACATGCTGCCACGTGGATTGTGTAGGGGTAACCAAGTGTGCACTTTTCCAAGCTTTTCATTTAGCCAAATGTCCTTTAGAAACAAAGTATGGGGCTTTTACGTTAAAACATCCTTTTGATCCCCGTTTAATCCCCTCTCCCAGCTTTTTCCCATGGTGGTGGGAGAACTCTGGGCATAGTGGCACTGGGCTTGGAATGAGGTAACCTTTGAGGTTCCAGTCCGAACAAATCTGGGATTCTGGGCTCACCCAGTAACTGCAAAACTACAAAAGAAGGTTAAGGAAGACAGAAACAACAGAGAGTTTCCTGCTCATCTGCTTCTACACTGGCCTGAATTCCCAGTAAATGAGCAACAGTGGACTTCCAGTTATTTACCCAGAATTGCTCCGTGAAGCTGTCCATGGAATATGGGGATCCTTTGCTGTGGGTCAGGGTTGAGAAGGCTCCAGAGAAACCTCAGAGCCCCTGCCAGTGCCTAAAGGGGCTCCCAGAGAGCTGGAGAAGGACTTGGGAGAAGGGCCTGCAGTGACAGGAGAAGGGGGAATGGGTTCCCACTGCCAGAGAGCAGGGTTAGATGGGATATTCTGTCATTCCAGGATTGATACTTTCAGGCTTCAGCGCTGATCTGCACAAGTCATTTCTGCAGAGGCAAACCAGTGCCAGAGCCATTCATTTGGATGTTACCTCTGGGTATTTCTCTGCTCTCAGCCTGTCATTTGTTCCCATTCAAATGGGGTGATTACACCACCAAACACCTTGTTTTGCTGCAGATTCCCTGGCTCTGGATCATTACACAGATGCAGTGTTTTGCTAGTACAGATTATGGTATCCCAATGTTCAGGGAAGGCATTTCCCAGATGGAAAATGGAATGAGACAGCTTATTCTCAGACTGGAGATGTTTGTTTTTTACCTGTGTGAGCTGTGCTACAGATCTTCTTTCTCCAAGGCTTGTGCAGGAGTCTGGGAGAGGCTCATCTGGCTAGAAAATACAGAATGCAAATAAGGGCTTGTTACCAAGCAGAGTGTGGGTATGTGCAGGGGGGGAAGCAGTTCCATTTTTAGCGCTGACGGGAAGGGAATGTGCTCAGCTACCTTCTGCAGTAAAAAGGCATCTTTTTATGGAACCTGCATGCACATCTGCTCCAGTCTTTAAAAATGAAAGACATGACAGTTTTAACTACAGGTCTGTTAGTTCATGGCTAAACTGAAGTTGCAAATGACTTCCTAGGAGTGACTTCAAAGAATGCTGTGTATGGATGCTCTCAAGAGCACAGTGCTGCTGTTCCATGCATCTAAACACCCAAGAGAGCAGAGATTTCAGAATAATCACCCTGGAAAACACTGTCTCTGCCTTTTCCAGTTACCTCAGGACTTTATCTTGGAGAGGGGAAATATTCTGTTCCTCCTAAGACTGCTTTTTTGATGTGCCAGGTTAGGCTCAAATTGTAAGCAGGCAGTCCTAGCAGCTTACTACGGCTGCAGGTAAGCACAGAAAGGAGCCAGGATCCAGGATTCTTTTTTGGCTCTGATCATTTTTTACCCTGTACTACTCATTTCCCAACTCCTATTTTAAGCAGACAGTCCCAGAGCCGTGAGAAACTCGCCATGCCCAGCTCTGCCAGCCAGAGGTGATGGGTTTTGGGGGTGTGTGGTCACTTACTGCATGCTCAGTGTCCATGCCCTGGGTGTCCTGGCTGGTGCCGTGGCAGAGCTGCTGGCTCTGTTCCTCAGCCCCCTGCACCGGGATGTACTCGCTGAGTTTCTGGACACAGCTGCAGCAGTGCTCCTGCACCTCCTCCTTGGAGCTCCCTCCGAACTGCACACGGAACATGCGGCACTCGTTCTGCTCACAACCACAGGGAAATCAAATTAACCTGGAATCCCCTCTAACTACTTGGGCTAAATCCTTATTTGCTGGAGTTGGGAAAAAGGCAATAGATTTGTGGGTCTCTGCACCGATTTAAAAACAAATAAACAGGTTTTCTTTGCTGTATCTTCTTTATTCCCAGCAGCTTAACCAGAAGGCTGTGATTGCAGACTTGAAAATCAGATAAAAATACGCAAAAAAAGGGTAAGTGATGCAGGGCCACCTGTCAGTAATTCGATGTTTAGCCAAGTGGACAAGCCTTGCCAGGACTCAGCTTTTACACACAGCAGGAAAATTAAGTTTTATTGTTGCTGCAGGTGTCCTTACAGTATCCTGTAAGGGTGTGCCAGCTCTGCACAGTTAGTTGTGACAAAAAATGACACAACAGTAAGCAGAAGTTAACTCTGGATCTGAACTATAAATTCAGGGCATGACAATCCTAATGTTCCAGTTAGGATTCATGTTCCTGATGCATCCAAGTCAATCCTACCTGTGTGTAGCTAAACCAACACGTTCAGTTTGGCTCTCACCTAAATGCTCCTTGAACAGAAACCAACACGTTGAATGAGAGTGCAGGAAATTCAAATGCATTACTTCAAAGAGTGAAATGATACTAAAAATTACTGAAAACTCACAGATAGCTCTGACCCTCCCCAGAGTAGGTTGTCAGGCTGTGTGCCGTAATAGGTAGTTTTAGTAAATGCCCCAGGTTCAGCAAACTGCCCTGAAATGGGGATGGCAATCTATGGTGGGTGATAAGCTTGGCCTAAGCACTTCGAGCTGATGTAAGGTGGGTGCATATTCAATGTTTAGAGAGCTAATTAATGGAACTTTCTGTTTGATCTTGAAATTCCAAATTTAAAGAACTCCAAGTACTAGAAAAGCAGCAAATTCTCCTTGGCCCAGCCTGGCTTATTTAGGTCTTCATCTTCGTGAGGTTCCAATGTCAAAACCCATTTTCAATGCCCATTTTAATTCCACACTGCTGGGCTGCTGGAGCACGAGTGCAAGGACACCTCTCACTTTAAAGTTCCTGTCTCAGAGATGAGGCAGCTCTTCCTGACAGCCCCTGTGTTTACATGCCTGCTGCTTGAAGAAGTCTGACTCACATAAAGAGATTTTTAGGGCAGGGCAAGCACAAAAGCCTGCCTCTGTGCTTTTTAAAGGGGAAAATGTCAAACTAATGTGAAGCATTGCACTCATTTGCCAGTGCCTGTTGGATTTGCCCTCATTACTATTAATTAAGGAACTGGGGCAGCCTCACAGACCCAGGCACTGAGCTGTGGGGTGCCACACAGCTAGGTGAGTTCTGATTTCAGAGACAGAAAAGGAACTTAGTGGAGTTTCTCTAGGACACTTTCAAAGAGCGCTTGCTTGTTTAGATCCCCAAGTCAATTTTGAGGCTGAGCTATTTGGACTCCTGTGAGTTTCTCACAAGGACTGTTAAAGACTTGAGTTTGCAGTTCATAAACAACAGCAGGCTTTGAAAATTAAACATTGTTCCTCTGTGGAAAGAGAGCTGTGGTATGTCAAGGTCTATGGCATAAACAGGACTGGGCAGTCACACCTGAACCACACAAGAGCTCAAGTGCTAAAGAACCCTGAGGTCATGGAATCATTAAATTTGCACCTCTTCCATGCTGGGGTGGGGGGCTGAGCTCAAGGAAGACAGTATGAAGGGAAATAATTTATTGTAAACTTATGAAGAACGTTCACCTTGCTCCTGTTCATAGTTTTGAAACTCATTCTGCTGGCGAAGAGCCCACAGTGCCCTTTTGAAGCCATATTTGGAGTGATCAGTAAGTTCCACTGTAAATACAGTAGTAATGACTTATAAAAAACAAGGAGTACAAGAGAAACCAGAAATTTATCATAAAGATCAGCACAGAAGCTGCATCCTGTTAGGATAGAAAGCAGAGAAGCTGTGTGGTAGAACCACTGCAGTGCCACTAAATCCAGCTGAAGTTGTGTGGATTTATGGTAAGTAAACACTGAGATGCACAGAATTAATTTCAGGCTGTTAATATTCCTCCTTTCCCGAACTGCCCCTCAGAGCTTTGCTGCAGCCTCGCAGTGAGGGTGATGTTGGTTTTGTCTGGCTGGTGAGGAGCAGCAGAATCCCTTAATGCTGGCTCTGGTAGCTGGGAAGGAACAACCTGCTGGTTCATCAGAACTAATTCCTGCCCCAGCTGTCTTCAGGCTTTCTAACAAGCTGAGAGAAAGCAGAGTGCAGAGGTGTTGTGGTTTCAGGCATAACCCATGAATTTAAAACACTAAGATACATAAGAGTATCAGAGTTCATCTAAGAAAAAAAAAAACCCTAAGATTTTTACACGAACTGGTAAGAAGAAAGTGCAGTTTGATTATTTAAAGGCAAACCAACCGCTTTTCATTGGGAGAGCTGAGTGGGAGACCAGAAACCCATGTCCATTTTGTTTCCTTGAGTACCAAATACCTTAACCACCAGCCTGCTGCCACTGTGCCAGGAGCCACAAAATGGCTCACTAATTGCTTGGTTAGAGAATTTGTTTGCTGAAGTGCAGTCTGACTCAGAGGTATCTTGGAAGAGATTTGCTTCAACTTTTTGTTAGCCGTGGCAGAGAGCTTGTGAAAAACCAGACTGGCTGTTTAAGCAGCTCACTCTTGGACAGTGGTCTAAAAACTGAATATTAGCAGTTAAAAAAGATACCGAGATTATTCAATCCACTCTTGTTTAGTATTTAGAGTAAAAAAACCTAAAAAATTTGAATTATCTAATAGCTAGTTAACACCTTCTTGTTTAATTTAGCCAAAATTGAGATATTTTCTCCATATCTGTGTTACATATTAGGAATGTTCCAAGCAGCTCAGCTCACCTTGGCCTGTGCCTGGAGCAGCAGGCACTCTGCTCTCCTCACTATCTTCAGCCACTTGTGGGAATCAATCAGGGAAAAGCCTTCCTGAAATAAATAAAGCACAAACCAGTGGCACAGCAAACAGCAGCACCCAGGAGCACATGTTTAAGTTCTGTCATGCAATTAAAGCCCTAATGAAGATCAGTCATGCAGTTGTGCAGGTTTTGGAGCTGTCTAACAGCTGCCACTGTGGAATTTTTTTACCACTGCAGGGATTAAATCGAGGAACACTGTGCCAAGGTATGTTCTCATTTCCATACCCCTCTACATTATATTTGTGCATGCTCTGAAAGCTCCTGAAAACCAGAATAAAGCAGCTGTAGTTGGAGCTTTGAGTGCTGAAGTTGCCCGGGAGGGCAGCAGAGGGCAGGCGAATCCGGGGAATGGCACGGCCCCGTTTTATCCAAGGCCGGGAGGCCTTGGCTCCAGGTGGCACTCGGGGAACCGAGCAGCAGCTTCGTTAATTGGATAAAGATGTTTTTATACTCCAGTTGCATCACTGTCAGTCCCTTCAAACTTGACAGACCGCTCAGCCTCATGTAAAAACACCCCAGGAAGGAGAAAAACAACTGCAAGGCAACGGACTGCATCTCCCAAGGCACTCTGAGCCATTATTTAGCGAAGTCCAGGGGAAAATCCCCAACCATTAATCAGTGTTAGGGCAGGGAGGAAATCAGGCACCTGTTTTAGCCAAACTCACAATCCTTTCAGTTACCAAGGGCTTGAGCCCAGGCTGCTTTCAAGGGGTCCTAAGGATCAAACTTCACAAGTCATGTCCATCCTGAAGGGCCAGCGGTGTTTGCCACAGTCACCATCCATCCCAGGTGGGTCCAGGCTGGAAAACCATCTGCCATTCTATTTTGGAACAGGAATCACCTCAGTGACTCTGCTCCTTTACTGTGCTGGCACTGGCTTTATGGTCTCATGCAGCAACTGCACGTAGATTTTGAGCTGCATTTTTAACTTTACAGAGGAATCTCTCAGAAGCTGTGAAGAGTTGAACCAAAGGCAGACTGGATGGCAGACATCTGCTGTGACAGACTCCAGAATGTCAACCAGCAGGGAAGTACCGTTCCCAAAAGATCTGCTGTCAGAGGGAGAAAAGAATTTCCCTGTGTGCTGTTAGAGCAGGTAAGAGGGCCAGTCCCTTGCAGTGTCTCTGCTCTGAACACACCAGAAGTGCCCTGAGGCAGGATGTGCTAAGCAGAAAAGGCCTAAAGGTCAAAACAACAGGGAGAGATCACTTGGTCAGCAATGGGGAAAGGTTGAACCAAGCCCCAATATGCTGCCAGTGAAGCAGTTCTAAGCCATTCCTTCACTAGGCCACTTTAATTTGTGACCACTTGTGCTTGTCCTGTTCATTTCAAGTAGTTTATGTTTTGGAGACACACCAACTGTTTATTTAAATATAGCTATTCCCATATTCAGTCTGCTTTTACGGTGTTTTTCCTTTCACTGGAGATGAAGGTTGAACAAATGTTGTCTACTTAAAATAGTAACTGTTTTCAAAGAAATTATAAAAGGCAGTCACTGTTTAACTTTCCTACCAACTATTTTATTGATGTTTCCCAGGTTCTTTTATATGTCCTGTTTCTGAGGTAAAACAAGCAGGAAAAAACAGCATTCAGAATTTTTATTTGATTACCCAGCTCCAACCCCAAAATTCCATTTAACTGAAATTTAAGTTTAACCACTTTATTTTTTAAATCTTTGTCTCTGTATTCACAGCCTGGTTTGGTTTGGGAGGAGCCTTAAAGCTCATCCAGTGGCACCCCTGCCATGGGCAAGGACACCTCCCACTGTCCCAGGGTGCTCCAAGCCCCATCCAGCCTGGGGCAGTGCATATGAAGCCAGGTGAGCGAATTCAGATCAACAGGAGGGAATAGCACAATAAACGTGTCCCTTGAGCCACGCTGGAAGCCAGGAGGGTCTCTGCCAACAGCCAGCAGCGGGGTGGGGGGCAGGGCCTGGCAAGTGCAAGGCAGCATTTTGGGATTAGAGTCCATTGTGCCTTTCCACAGGTGATGGATTGGCTCGCGCGTGCTCTGGACGTGGGCGATGACACGGAAAAAAGCAGCGTTCCCTCGGGAGTGGTGCTGCCACCACGCTGCCAGAGTAGGGAACACAGCAGCTGGTCCCTGCTCCCTTGAGCAGGAGCCGCTTCAGTCAACCAGGCGGGGGCAAAGCCAGATGGCAGTGTAAAATTAATCGGAATATCCCCAAAATGCAGCCTAGAACAGGGCAGGGGCACAGGAGCCCAAATGTTCACCACGTGAAGAGAGAAATGGCAGCACTTTATTAAGCTGGGTCATCAGTCAGGCACATAGCCCTGTTGTTGTCCACGACTACTTGTAACAGAAGTGGGGTAAAGGAAAACTCTTTCCTACATCTGTGATCAAAATCTAAGTTTCTCAGAGGGAGGACTGGGTGGAATTAAGCTGAAGGAGAAAACAAAGCAAGATGTTTTCCAAATGTTTTGGAAGTAGGCAAGATGTGACCACAGCTGCCATGAGGCAGGAGCCAGAAATACTGATCCAGCCTCAGAGCCATCGAGTCCAGCACAGACTGGGAAATACTTTTGTTCTGACTTCACATTTCAGCATTCAGAAACCTGCTGTGTAATGAGGGCTGTGAGCTGTGCTGGAAGGTATTGTGTGTGATTTATGAATATTTTTTATTGTAGCATTTAGAAACCCCACGGTGCTAAACAATGCAGGAATAGATTATCTATGTTTTGTTAGACTGCAACCCTAGCTGAACAGAAGATGACTCTGTATCTAAGAAATGTTATTTGTGTAGCATTTCAGCTATGCTGGCTTGCATCAGTTAGTCTGGATGCACTCATACACAAGCCAGATGTTTTCAAACAAAACTATGTGTAAACAATAGCTTAGGAGGAAAAGCTTTTTTGCTTGGTCACAAACACGACCCAGTCTGCCCTTAAATCACAAGCAGTATTAAAAAAGACAAATGAAACCCCAGAATGCCATAGAGAGACATTCTCCAGTCTGGGCTGCCTCTTCTAGCAGGCCCATGAAATGCAAATACACCAGTTTGTTCTCCAAGTTCACAGCTCCAAGGAATGTATGCATTGTATCACGTCATGGATTAAGGACTCTGGGAAGGTGCAGGAAAGAACAAGGTCAGTTTGAGATGAAGGGAGTTTTATTGTGTGAATTAAAAGTGTACAGCTGCCAGGGTGGTGCTGCTATAGGCCTCAGACAACATCCTGCTCACACCATTGCGACAGCACCCTGGGACACAATTCCCTAGAAAACAGAGCAGTCTGCTTCCAAAGTTTCCAGGCAGGCACCTGAGACAGCTCCTTAACCCTTGCCTTTCCCAAGGTCAGGTACCACTACATGAGGGGGGAGCACCAGAGGAATGGAAATGTTATTTCCAGATGAACCCACAGCATGGTTCTGATCAAAAGAGAACGGAGGCGGTGGAGTTGCAAGGACTGCTATGAACCATTCCCTCACGAGACAGGAAAAATAGAGATGTGTGAGCAAACAGGCAGAAAAAGCTTGTGAATGATGTTCAAGAATCAGATAGAATGTTAAAGAACAGGCAAAACTGGGATGCATTCAGAAAACTGGAGAAGGTGTTTACAGGTAAGTGGTGACACTATAATGAGGATTTTGTTATTAATAGGTTGTTATAATAACAATTATAATAAAATTATAATAAATATATATTCTATTTTATAATAAAAAAGCTGGACAAGCTTGAAACATGGCATAGATTCTAAATCAAATGCTTGCATAAATCTGAAAAATAGCAATTTTTAATTCCTTGCCTTCCCAAAAGAGAATGTGAGTTACCATTTTAAAGTTTTTTTCCTAGAATAAACAATTTTCTATTTAAAAAGTAAAAATTCTTAATTGATGACTGTAGAATAAAGTTGTGAAAATTAAACTTCTAACATAATTTCACTCCAGTCTTCATTACTACCTTATAACACACCTGGAAGCAGACATTTTTTTTATCTATTTCCAGCATCTAAGTAAGGCCAAATACATCGGGTTTCATTTCTGCAGTACGAGCTGTCTTGAAAATTGAGTCAAGATTAGAAGAGCCAAAAAAATCCCCCCAAACAAGACAACCTGTAGAGTGAGGGAAGCACAAAGCTGTCCCTGCATGCATTTCCAACCCTGCCAATCGAGGCAGACAAACAGGAGTAAGGAACAAAAGGATGTTAAGCTTTGCAGGATTCTTTGTTCCCCCCTCAAATGTTTCTCTTAAGCTGTTTGATTGTGGCAGAGAACTCGTTAGGCAGAGTGCTCTGTGTGCACACAGAAGCTGAAGGAGGGAGGAAACCCAGGACACAGAGCCACCCCTGAGGGGACTCGCAGGCAGAGAATGGCTTTGGCCAAAGTGCAAACGCTGCCTGCAGGAGCAGGGTTCACACCACAGCCACTGACAGCCCTTACCCCAGCACAAACCTTGATGCTTCACAGCGACAACCTGAATTGTTTTGGGTTTTTTTCCCAGTGACATCTGTCTAGGGACACAGAGAGGGGATCTGGATGCTAAAGCTTTTCAGGGTGTCCCATTAATGTATTCTTTCATTCCCAATATAAAATATGTACTTCCCCAGATTGATCATAATCTCCAAAAAAAAAAAAAAATAAATTCTGAGAGCTGGGTTTAGGAGAACTGGGGCAGGAGAAAAGGAAAGAGCAGAAGCCCTTGACATGAAACTGAAATGGGAAAGCTGATGCAGAAGGATACTCTCAGCTCATCCAAAACAATCACATCAACATGTTGAAATAAACAAACTGAAATTGAGATTTTTGAACTACGGTTGTGGTACTAAATAAGCCAACAAAACTTAAATCAAAGAAGAACCTTCTGTGGCTTTGCGGTGTTCTGCCTCTCGCTGCCCAGGTTTCTCTCAGGAGCCCTCATTTATTGCACAGGGACCATCTCTGCCCAGGGCACTGTGGTGAATCTCATCTGCAAAATTTGGTGCCTGAGTTTCAGGCACTACAAAGAGAGCATCAGGAACATGAGGATGCCTGCTGAATGCTTGCCTAATTAATGAGTTAGAATCCACTGTACCCTAAGCACTGGTAGCTTATTAGAAGTCATGAGGGGACCAGGAGGGCACTAAGGACATTTAGCCTACTCTTCAAAAGATCGGGTCACAAATCAATTACTCCGGATTTATTTTATCCTATTAACTAAGTCCTCTTCACAATTTCAATTTGATTAACTTGTAGGATATTATGAATTCTAGCACCAGAAATAATTGCACTGAATAAAACACCAAAATAAAATTTCCAAGATGTGCTGATACAGAGGGGAAAGGAAATAAGAGTTGTGGTAAATAGAACATAATGTATCTTGAGCATGGCCAGAAATTACCAGAGAAGCTGTTGAGATATTCCTGTAAAATTCCACTGACTACAGTATATAAGAATGAGGTTTTCCTACCATCAAATATCCAGTCTGTTAGGCAACACTGCAGCAAAAACAGGTCCTAAAAATGCATTATGTAATTTAATTCCAAATGAAGAATTTGGTTTAAAAAAGAATAAAACAAAACAAAACAAATCAAAGCACCCTTTAATTTGCATTACGCATCAGGGATTTTTATGTTCCATGCTCTGAAGTTCCATTTACCCTCCTCTTCATTCCATTACACAAGGAATAGATGGTATTTTGAAAGGAAAACAGTTGTTTCTGTATTTATTAAAAAATCAGTTGTCAGGATATGTGAGTATTTTATTGCTATTTTATAAATATTGTTCTTAGAAACAGATCATAAAAGAGCCAGTGGGCTCTAAGGAAAAGGTTTCTTAACTTTCCTACTTAAATAAAATTAAAAGGACTAAGAGAATACGTAAGTACACCCATCATAGAGAAAATATTTTGATAGCAATCAGAAACACTTGAATATTGTTCCTACTATGGATATTAATCCAGCCATCAGGAAAACAGAAATTTCTTATTTTTTTCCCAACTCTTTCAGTTCTGTGGAAATGTTGTTCATAGGTGACAATCAGAAACAATTCCTTTTATTATTCATCAGTGACAATTTTACAAAAATACAAATTCTGCACGTTGAGAAGGCGATGTGGCCCTGTGACACAGATCTTGTGCCTCACCCTGTTCCTGTGCAGAGCTACAAAGCTACAATAATTGTTATCCAGTTCCCTCAAACCCGGGAGCACGGAGCACATCAAAAGGGCTGAAAAGTAGGGATTAAGAGATAGATCAAAAGACAAGACATCAACAATTTAAAGGATGCAGTTCCAACACGGCACAAAGCAGCTGTGTGAGTACATCAGAGGGGATTTCAATGCTAGTAAGGCAGCACACAGGTGTGACACAGCCCAGCCCAGGCCAGCAAGAGGAAATGAGAGCACAAGTAAAAGCATGGCAGCAGCTGCAGCATTCCATCAAAGCTGATCTGTTCCCTCTGGAGCAGAAGCTGTGCATTATCCCCTCTGACAGAACGTCCAGGATAATGGACCCCCAGTGAGTGGATTTGGTGTGTGACAGCCTCCAAGCACGGTCTGTACTTAGTCGTGCAAAGCCTGGTTAAATATTGTGACAGGTTTGTGACAGCACTGACAGCTGCAACTGGAGGGAGACAGAACCACTGAGATTAACCATTTCTAATGATTTCTGCAGCCTGGGCAGCACTGCAAGTTGGTTTGTTGTCACGTGGCATCCCAGGAAGGAGTTTGCAAAGTGTCCCATCCCTGGAAGTGCTCAACAACAGGTTGGATGGAGCTGTGAGCAGCCTGGGACAGTGGAAGTGTCCCTGCCCATGGCAGGGGCTGGCACTGGATGGGATGGGAGGTCCCTCCCAGCCCAAACCACCCTGGGATTCTATGAAAACGAGCACCCTGGGTATTTGGTGGGGTTTTCAGCCACTCAGGTACGTTTAAGAGGACAAGTGGGAGGGCTGCAGCTGGTCCAATCTCACAAACACACAACCCCAGTATGAACCAGTGCCTCTCCCACCAGTTCAGTCCTGCATGCACAGAACACCCCTGTGCCACCAGCCCAAACACCCCTACTCAAAGAGCTGCACCAATCAACAGCCCGTAAAACCAACTCGATAGAACCTTTCTTTAACAACTCTCTAAATGTCAGAGTTCCAACTTTAAGGTTGGTGTAGAAGTATTGCCAAAATTAATGTTTGAATAAAACCAGAACTTTTTCTTCTGAACTCTCAGTACTGTATTTTGGTCACATCTACCAAGCATGTCTGTTCCACCTCTCCTGCACTATGTGATAGTTCCTGCAGTATCTCAGTGTCTCTTAGAAGCTGGAACAGTCCTGATGGATCCCAGAAATTCCTCATCTGGCATTTCATGCAAAGCAGCTGCCTGAAAGCTTCACTAGCCACTAAACACAAGAGCTGCAAGGAAAGTGCTTTTCCCAGCCAAGTTTTCAGAAGCTTTTCTGATCCCTCACCCTTTCTGACAGCGCACTTTTATCTGCCCTGTTACTTGCCAGCTTCAGCCTTTGCCAGACAAGCCTTTGAAGGGCTGCAGCTTTGGGTTGTGCCTTTTTTGCACTTTGGTTAGTGATTAGAAGTTGCTGTTAGCTTTTATATGGTTATTTCAAGGACTTTTAGAGTGATGTCAGTTACTGGTCACTAACAGGGACAGCCACTGGGAATAGGAACATCCTGCATGGAGTTATCCCAAGCAGAATGTGCTAAGGGATGGCAGCAAGTCTCATTTCCATCCCCATTTTCAAAACTTCTTTCCTTTCTCTTACTCAACACAACTGCCAAAACCTTTCCAGGGTCCCTTTTTACCTTGTCCTCACTGGATGAAGTGAGGGCCATCCACAGTAACAGCTCCCTGTTAGCTCATGCATTAACTATTCAATGTTCCTAACACACAGGCCAAAAACTTCAAGGGTATCCATGGTTCTCCCCTAAACTTTAATTTCTGCAAGTTTAAGACCCTTTAAGAGGCACAGTAAAAACTAATTTATAAGCTTACATATATTCCAAGGTGCAACATGGTCTCTTATACATTCTATTAAAAAAGCTTTGTTATCTTTATACTGCAGCATCTTCCACTGGTTTGTAATACCTTTCTAACATATTTATCAGCCAGTTCCTACTCGTTATCACCACTGAGTACTGGTGATATGCACTGTACACACTTAATTCCATCCTCCAGCAAGGTCTTCTATGTCAAGAGCATCAAACCCACTCCTCCTACACACAATTTTCCTTTTATTGTCATTATGACATTTAGCTTACTAACTGGTTATGTTTAAGCAAGTGCAGGCTACAGGAAAACCAGCTGACACAAGTTTGCATTTTGTCTCCAATGATCTTATGCTGTTTGTTACATCTCATCATCCAACACAGAAAACACAAACCCTTTGATAAACCACATTGTCAAACCAAAATACTAGCAGGTCATTGGCAAATGATGTAACAAATTATAGTTTTACCTATTTCTAAACAGAGCATTTTTCTGTTTTCTTAGTCAGAAGAATCATGAAAAAAAACCCCAAACATCTTTCAACATCAGCAACATTTAGCATTACCTCTTCACTTAGATTTTTAGAACCACAGAAGAAATGTTGATCCTCAGCAGGAAATAATGTATTTAGTACTGTTCTGATAAATGTGAAGGGAAAGGAGAACATGAGAATAACCATCAGCAAAACAAGATTGACAGTTCCTACTCAGTGGGAAAGAAAATGAAGCTGAGAAAAGAAACAAAGTTAATACTGATGGTAAATGATGAAGGAGGAATGTTCTTTATACGTGACAAACTTACCAGCACTGTTCGCTCTTGGGAAATAAAGAAATGGCCAGACTCCACAATGGTAAGGACAAGAGGGCCTGATTCTTCATTTGATTCAAACACCTTTAAAAAGACAGACAAAGGAAAATCCGGCCATTCAAGCACAGAATCTACAAGTCCCATTTCTAGTGCCAAATAAAAGGTCTCAAAGGTCGCTGTTAGAAGCCAGGTGTGTAATTCACATCTCACTAATGCAACTTGCCCTCCACACCCACAGACAAGAGGCACATCAAATTATTTTTTTCACTAATTATGCCCGCATATACAGACTTAATACATACTTAGAACAACCCTCTGGATTCTTCCACCTTGGTTTCTAGATTTTAGTACCACAGGTTACTGCTCGATATAGGAATAAAACAAAGTGGACCACTAACACTCTAATGTGTTGTCATTAATAATTCAGGAAGCAAAATCTCTCCCAATTCCTGCTCTAGCTCTGGACTCGCAAAAAGGCACCTGAAAGACCTCATTTTATCCGTGTTTGCCTCACAGCAGAGCCAGTTACCCCACACCACTCCGCCATCCTCCCCGCGCCGCCGGCACCTTCCAAGAGGTGTTTTGCCCCTCATCGTCACCGTCCTTCGGGGGGAGGAAGCGACCGTAGCGCTTCAAGGGCCACACTGTGGCGCCGCCCAGGAGGGAGGTGTCGCCGGCGCTGCCCGGCGCCGAAGCCAGCCCAGGCTCGGAGCCACAGCCGCCGCCAGCCGCCTCAGCCATGCCGCTCTGAGAGCTCTGAGGGGCGGCTGCGGCCAGCGCACGGGAGCTGGGCGGGAAGCAGGAGCCAATAGGAAGGCGGAGAGAGCGAGTGGCGGGAATTGTTCGCCAATCAGCACGAGGGGGGGGTGGTTCGCGCTGCATCCTCTGTGGCGACTCGTCCTTATGAAGTGCTGTCGCCTATTTCGCCTCAGGGGTGCCGCGCACAGCTCCTGGCTCTCTCCCTTTCTTCCCCTTACTTTTTCTCTTCCCCTTACTTTTTCTCTTCTTCCTCGCCCGCTCCGAGGGTAGCGTGGCTATAGCCTCTCCCTTCTCCAAAGGGGCCCCCGGCCGTGCCGATGTGGCGGGTCCGCCCGGCGGTGCTGAGGGGAGAGAGGAGCGCGGACACCGTGGCCGCCATTTTGTGGCGTGTGAGGGAGCGCGGTGGGAGCTGCGCAGCAAGGAGGAGGACGACGAGGATGTGAAGCTCTCGCTGTCTGTCGCCGCCCCTGTGACATGCCCGTGGAACCCGGCCAAGATGCCAGTATGTCCTCAGGTAGAACGCGGCAAGCCCCTGTAAAAACGGTGTCCTACACTCTTCTGTTCCCTTTCCATTTCTTGGTTGCCTTCAATTCCTAGAGTTACAACAGGGATTTTTGTGGTACCTGACTCGGGGTCTGTCGAAGAAACTGTTTTCAATGTATGTGATGGTTTTAACCAGCGTGGGCAAACAGCTGGATTAATAAATCAAAATTGCACTCTCTTCCCCATTCTAGCTATTAGATGCTCGTACAATGATGTAATGCTACACTTTATCCCTGGACAAGGAGTGATGGTGACATGACTGCACTTTGATATTCCATTTATAGTACATACCTTGGCCCATTAACAATAAAAATGTGCACGAGCTGGTCATTGGGGTGGCAGGAGGAGCCAGGTACCATTCAGGACTGCCCCATATGGGCTCATGGATGCCCATCACCACGAGTTTTACCATCCCCTGATGGTTAAACCCATCACCATGAGGGCACCATCCCAGTTCCTTTAATCCCAGTGCTGTGCATTGCCCACCACAATACAATACATCTGACCAAGAAGAAACTTGACTAAATAGTCAAATTAAGCAGAAAAAATATGCCATTTTCTTTTCTGCTTTTCTTTACCTGTAATGCTTTGTATTCATGATGTTGTGTTGGCTGATAAAAATAAAATGACTACTGTCTCATCTGAAGTAAAACCTTCAGGGATGAGGTTAACCTATTAAGCTGTGATGGTTTAATCTGCATGGTTTAATCTAGATGGTTTAATTAGAAAATATTAGATTGACATTTATGTCCTGTGGCCCTAGTGTTTTTCATCCGATGTTGCACTCGAGAGCTGGTTGAGCATCCAAGGAACTATTTCCAAAATAAACAATTTTAGAGTGTTTCCAAAAGGGAGGTGTTTATCTAAGCATTTTGCAGATAGGGAAAGGCAGGCAGAAAGGCATTAAATGACTTGACAAGGTCATCCAGAGACATCAGTAATGAAACAGGGAATACAGCGTGGGCTTCCCAGCTGCCAGTTGCCTTCTCTAATCACTGCTTCCCCACGAGGCTTTCTCAAAGTGTGCTTGTCAAACATTCAGAATTTGCCAGTAGATTTGGAACTTTGTTGGAATCTATAGAAGAAGCTGAACATTTTTTTTTCCAGAGAAAAATGTTATGAGCACATATAGGTAAAATATTTTCCTCTATTTCAGCTGGAAACTGCAGCATTTATTTTCTGTGGAAAAAGTTTCCAGTGTCTATTTTCCAAGAGTGATTTCTGGCTTCTGCATGAACAAAACAAAAGCTTAATACTTTACTAAAGCAAAAATTTCAGAGTGTGGGTCTGAGAGAGGCAGATGGAAACCAAGAGCATCAGATACTTCAATTTCCTGATAGATTTTTGCTTTATTAGTCTCTGCTAGTTTGCTTCTACTTTTTGGACATCAGTGTGTGATTTTACATATATATAAAGTTAAATGAGCTTTGTGTTGAGACCAATACACAAGCTTTTGCAGATTCTAATTTCCTTGGGGAATTGCATGATTAGCTCTGGATTCAAAGAGTAGACATAGAGGAAAATGGTTAAAATGTGTTTTGATTAGATTTTGTGTTTTTTTTGGTGAAAGGCTACAGAAGCTGCCAGTTTTCAAAAATTACAGAATAAAATGTAGAAGAAAGAGACAAGTAAAAGCTGTCAGGAGACTGACAGGTTAAAATGTGTTTCATCAGAAATGAGATAGCAAATCCTATCTAGATGCTGAGGGTTTGTCACTGCTGTGTGCTTCAGGTTTGCCTGAGACTTCACCGGCTGCAGTGATACAAGTTAATTTTCTCACTGCAGAAGTATCTGCTCCTGTTTATAAATTAGGGAAACTGCCAAAAGCAGAGCTGTCCGTGCAGGGACACAGATCCCTTCTTACACCATGCAGATTTGATAATGTGCTGATAATTGTTAGGTGTACAACAGTTGGTTCTGCTACTGGGTATTTTGCTGAGCAATCTATGTTTTTGATTTTTAATACTAGTGGTGGTGATAATGGCAACAATAAAATCACATCACCGTGACTTTATTGTCAAATGCAAGCACAGGTTTGCCACAAGTGCTGGGCATGGACTGGAGGAACTCACACAAATTGGACAAATAATGTATTAACAACATCAAGGGTGACAGATGCATGAAATGGATCAAAATAAGCAACAAAAGGTGCTTTTTAGCGATTCTGGAGGTTTCCTGTGGTACTGACCACTTCCCATGTGCTTCTACCCAAGCATGCAAGGCATGAATGGGATTCCTCACAGTGAGGAAATCAAAGGCTAGTGAAAATGTTCTGTTCAGAATATTTGATTTATTGCTTTGATTTCTGTAATAAATAGTGCTGTCCTGTGCTTTAGTTGCTTTGTTAGTAGTTGGGATGTTTCCCCAGGTTCGTTGCGTTAATTAATGTTTCACACAGTTGTGCCTCCTTTCTCTGGAATGTGGTCTGTGGTCAGCAGCCTCCCTGCCCAGACCTCTGGGTGCTGATGAAATCGCAGCATCTTGTGTTACTGCACAGCCCTGCTCTCCCCAGGGCACCTCATTCAGTTCTGTCAGCATGAGTCAGCCTGGGGGCAGATGAACTCTGAGGTTTTTTACTCAGAAATTTGAAGCAAGGCCCCAGTGTTGTACTCGGCTCTGGTACCGTGGCCTCTGCTGTTCTAAGGAGTGTCAGGTGTTCACACACCCACCCACCTGTGGGAGCTGCAGGCATTGAATTTTCCTCATCACTTTCATACTGTTCCACTTTTTTCCTTAACAAAATCTACCCCTTTGCAGTACGCTTTACATTTTCAAGTGAATATCTGAGCCCAAATCAATGTGTTTCTGATGTCACGTACTTCAAGTATCAGTGTAAGGTTGAAATAAAGTCTGATGACTTGTGTTTGGTACCAGAGTCCCACAGAATCCTGGAATGGTTTGGGTTGGAAGGGTCCTTAAAGCCCATCCACTCCCTGCCATGAGCAGGAACAATTTCCACTATCCCAGGGTGCTCCAAGCCCCAATGTCCAACCTGGCCTTGGGCACTGCCAGGCATGCAGGGGCAGCCACAGCTGTTCTGGGCACCCTGTGCCAGGGCCTGCCCACCATCTCAGGGAAAAATTCGTTCCTGCTATCCCATCTAACCCTGCCCTCTGGCAGTTTAAAACCATTGCCCCTTGTCCTGGCATTACCTGCCCATACAAAAGTCCCTCTCTTCTTTATAAGCCTCCTTCAGGCCCTGGCAGGGGCTCTGAGCTCTCCCTGGAGCCTCCTCCAGGTGAACACACCCAGCTCTCCCAGCCTGGCTCCAGAGCAGAGGGGCTTCACCCTGGGAGCAGCTCCGTGGCTCCTGTGGACTGGCTCCAGCAGCTCCAGTCCTTAATGTGCTGAGGACCCCAACTAATCTGCACTTACACTTCACAGACTCTCCAGTGGCCGTATCAAGATAAAGACTGGCTTCAGAGTCCACCCTTCAAGCACCATGAGCTCCCAGCTGAGTATTTTCAATTATCCTTTCTGTTTTCAGAAGTTACTCAGTTGTGGTGTCTCCAGAGATTGATCCCATAAGTTCACACCTTGTTTCTGTTTATCTAAGGGATGGCATTCCTAATTTGTCAAATATCACATTCCTCAATGACACCTTCACTAGATGATCTTTAAGATCCTTTCCAACCCAGACCATTCTGTGCTTCTATGATCTTACTCCCAAAATGACATAATTTGTGAAGGTGCTTGAGCTTTAGAGGCAGCTGTGGAAGCTCCCAAAGCAGTGGCTGTTGCGGGCAGACAGAGGAGCTGTGTGGGTCTGTGTATCGTGCTTATCGCAGCTGTGGGATGTGCTGGAGTGTTTCAAACAGCGCCAGAGGCTGGGAGCAGCTCGGTGGACAGAGGTGCCACAGAAGCCTTATCTCCTGCAGGCTGTGTGGCACTCAGTGACGAGCCCTGAGAGCCTTTGGGGAGCAGGTGCTGGGGACAGAAAGCAGAGTTGGCCTCTGTCCCTCAGTCGGCAGGGACACACCAAAGCCAGTGTGAAGCCCTGACTTCATGGGGTCTTTGACCTCCTTGTGTGATTTGAGACTCTGCTGCATAAAGCCTTGCACTTATTTCCAGGGAAGGTCACATTTGTTCAAAACATAGTTTATTTGTATTTCCTTTATTTTCTTTTTAAGTTGTCTAACTTTAGCACTTGGGGCACAGATGAAGGAGCTGCTGCCACAGAGATTTTCCATTTACATAAAAACCCCACCCACAAACACCCTTCACTGTCAGTGCATCCATTTTGCTGAGTGCTTTTCATTTTCCATGACCTTGAAAACATAAGGGCGTTTATTAATTAATTCAAATTTACAGCTGGGTGGAGGGGAGAATTGCAGATCTGAGATAAGCAATTTGTTGTGTGCCCCTTATTTGATGAGGATTGTAGGAGAAGTAGTCCAAGCCGTTGCCAAGACTTCCCCTCCCAATCAACCCTGTTTTTCATTTAACCACTGGGTAAAGAGTGACCCTAG